CGAGAAAGCGATTCCAGTTTAAATTGCTAGAAAGTCCCAGGCGAGAGCGCAATTCCAGAGATCAATGTGAGGAAATCTCAGACAGGGTCCTGGCTAACTTGTGGGGCAATATCAGGCGGGAGCCCTTGTTATTGGGGGCCAGGGGCACAGCTTGACCTCCGTGACTTTCCACTATAAGCAACAGGGTGCGAGCCCTGGGGGAAGCACTTCCATCGAAAAATCACAATGGTCACCGGATGGGGGAATCAACAATACATATTTGGAAAATAACAACTCAACACAACAACAGCAACAGCAACAGCAACAACAACAACAATAATAATAGCAACAATCATGTTAAGACTGATCGCTCCGATCTACTCGCGCGCCATTCAACACTTATATCCCAAATCCTCGTTACCCGCCCTCTTCGTCTTCAATCGTACCCCCATTCGGAGTGCATCTTCCTTACCTGCCACATGGGCCCCTAAAACAGGGGAAGAGGACGGTTGGAAGGGGAAGGGAGAAGGATGGAGCACGATAGAAATTGGCAAGAGGAGGACTAGGAGCAGAAAAAACGTGGCAGCACCAGCTGGGCAGATCGGGCGGGCAGAAGCTAGCGGGCTGGTCGGGAAGGCGGGCCCAGGTGGCCAGGTCGAGCAGGCGGGTTGCTGAAGCGTGAGTCCTGCATGAATCGCGAGGAAGTCTCGAGCGACAGCGCGATTCCCAAGGAAACAATGGCAAAAGCCAGAGCGAGTGCGTGATTCCTGAGCGTCGAGGGCGCGGCGTCCTCACAAACCTGCGAGGAAGCTCCGCGCGGGAGCGCGACTCCTTCGTGCTGCCGTGAGGTCTCGGGAGGTCCTGGGAGCCCCCACCCGCCCAGGACAAGGCTCAGGCCGGGCCTGTCCCCCTGCAGGGGGATTTTGGACGAGACACACAAAATAGCTCACAAAACACTCAAAGATGCCCAAAAATACTCCAAAAAAAATCCCCAGACTATTCTGCTCACTATTTTCGAAGACTCCCCCTGTAGAGGGACAGGCCCGACTTAGGCCAAAGGCGCCCAGACAGCCCGGCCCCCCGTGCCGGCCCCCCCCCTCCTCCTCCTCTCCTCCTCCTCCTCCTCCTCCTCCTCCTCGTCCACCTCCTCCTCCTCCTCCTCCTCCTCCTCCTCCTCCTCCTCCTCCTCCTCCTCCTCCTCCTTTACAGTTACTCAATATGAATACTACTCTCCCTCTTCCCATGATGACGGCCTGGGAGTGTCCGACCCCCCCCCCGCGTACTGTTTTTTACACGCAGGTTTCCCCGGAGTTGGGTTTTCGCCTGCATTTTGTTTCAAAATGCTGCTCTCGCTGAGGCGCCGGCCTCATTTTCGGGCCCCGCTCGTTCCGAATCGTGCTCCCGCTGCAGCGCTGGCCTCATTTCCGTGCTTCCGCTCGTTCCGAATCGTGCTCCCGCTGCAGCGCTGGTCTCATTTCCGCGCTTCCGCTCGTTTCGACTCCTGCTCCCGCTGCAGCGCTGGCGTCATTTCCCGTGCCATGCCACGGCATGCACTGCAATGCTAGGTTGATACTACGCTTTGCGGTGCTCTTCTACGCCATGCCATGCCGTCCTCTACAATGCATCGCGTACCCATCATTACCCTGCTCGACATCCGACTGAGCGAGTAGAGCGGGGATCTGCGCCATTGTAAGGCATGGGAGGGAGGGGTAGGATGTCAGATATGACGCGAGCGCACCTAGCTTGTCCTCCCACCTCCTCCCACCTCCTCCTCCTCCTCCTCCTCCTCCTCCTCCTCCTCCTCCTCCTCCTCCTCCTCCTCCTCCTCCTCCTCCTCCTCCTCCTCCAGCTCCGGCCGCACGCAGAGGGCAGCCGCGAGGCCGGCGCGGCCTCCGCCGCGCGGCTCGCCGATCGCTCCCCGGCGGTGCGGCAGTGGCGCCCTGGCGGTCTTGAAGGGGCCCTGGGGCACACAAATAGATAGACACAAATGACGAGGATCGTGGCCTCCGAGGGGGGGGCTGCCAACGACTACCCCCCTCCCGCCCCAAGGGGCCCCCAAGAGCCCACCAAGAGGCCCCAGGGGAGCCCAATACGCCGCCAAGGAGCCCCAAGACGCTCCCAAGAAGCCCCCAAGAAGCCCCCAAGACGGCCCCAAGAGGCCCCCTAAATAGCGCTCCAGGGCCGGGGGGAATGAGCGAAGCGATTAAATAAATAGACACAAATAACAGGATACCCCATATTTCCCCATGTTCTCTGTGTTTCTGTCTTCCCCACCCACCGCCCATAGTTTCCCACATGTTCCTGGGAGCCGACGCTGAATTGTGTCTGTGTGTGTTTTCCCCTCCTGATGTCTGGACCTGCCACACACACACACACACACACACACACCGCCCCCCGAAATCTCGCACCAGAGGCCACTCTGGCGGAGGGACACTTCAGGGTGCCGCGTGGGACCTGCTCCAGAGCAGGACGCGACCGCAGACGCACTGGCCCACTCTCCGGTCCCCCGTGCTGCGACGAGCGCAGCGGCTGCCTCGTCCGTAGACGCCTCCGCCCCGAAGGCGCCTGCAGACGCGACGGCACCCCGAATGCGTCCGCAGACGCTTTGCTTGTGGCTGAAACGTGAGCGAACGGTTCTTGGCACGCAAACACCTGCATTTTGTTTGTCGCCCCTGCGCCGCCCCGAAGGCACTTCCAGAGTGCCGTCGGCGCGCGCGACCGTGCGCGGCGCCGTTCGGCGCCTCCCTTGCGCGGCGCCAGCCTTGAACGCGCAGTTTTTGCGGCGGCGCCCGTGTGGCCAGGTGCTCTACACAGCAGGTACCGGGAGCGGCCAAGAGAGGGTGTCCAAGAGGGGGGGGTGCAAATCATGACCGGCGGCATGTGCGCGGCCCAGCGGGAAGGGGCCAGGGACGCAATGAAATAAGACGAGGCGCCACGAGGTCTGGGGAAATATCATGGCCCCCGCCATGATATCCACACCCCCTAGTCATCACCCCCCTCTTTGCCGCCCCCGATCCCTGGCCAGGAGGAGGAGGAGGAAGAGGAGGAGGAGGCGGAGGAGGAGGGGGAGGAGGGGGAGGAGGGAGGAGGAGGAGGAGGAGGAGGAGGAGGGGAGGAGGAGGAGGAGGAGGAGGAGGAGGAGGAGGAGGGAGGAGGAGGAGGCGGAGGGGAGGAGGGGAGGGGGAGGAGGAGGAGGAGGAGGAGGAGGAGGAGGCGGAGGGAGGAGGAGGAGGAGGAGGAGGAGGAGGAGGAGGAGGAGAGGAGAGGAGGAGGAGGAGGGAGGGGGAGAGGAGGGGGAGGGGGAGGAGGAGGAGGAGGAGCCCCTCCCAAGTGGGCAACGACGGGTCCCTGGCCAGGGCCGCCCCCGAAGACCGGGCCCTCCAGCGGACGCTCGACCTCTGGGCCACGACTCGGGGGCCTCCGACGGCCGCTCGGGAGGCTCCCATGGGCACCCCCGGGAACGCTCCCGGCGACGAGCGCGCAGCTGCGAAGGAGCGCGCAACCGGAGGCTGGACGAGACCACCGGGCCGCCGGCAGCGCCCGAGCGCCGTTCCCAGAGAGCCACCGCCTGGAAGAAATCGTGACGGAGGTGTTTTTCGCAGTTTTCGGCCTCGGGGAGCCCTCACCGGGCCTCGGGACCGTCGAAAAACGACTCGGGATGCAAAACCGGTCCTTGGGAAGGGGTCGGGACTTCTGGAGACCCCGTAGTGAAAAAATCACGACATCGGATCTCTGGGTCCTGGCCTCGAGCGGCAGGGTCCGCATGGCGCACCCGCCCCATGTCGGCACACCCCATCACTCCTCCCCCCCCCATGCTTCTTCTCGATTGCCCTAGGTCGGGCATGTCCTCCTATGGTTAAGTCGGGCGTGTCCCCCTACAGGGGGATTTTCGACGAAAAATAAAAAATACACCGCAAATACCCCAAAAGGGTCAAAAAAATACTCAAAAAATAATCCCCGTACTATTTTTTGACTATTCATGGATTATTTTGGGGGTATTTTTATTTTTCGTCGAAAATCCCCCTGTAGGGGGCAGGCCCGACTTAATCCTATGGGCGGAGCTTGGGACAAGGATACAAAACAAACCATAGTCAAAAAATGATCAGAATTGGCCGAAACCTCATAGAAAAATCGTCCCGGGAATATTTTTTGTGTAGCATTCCTGAACATTCCTCCTGAGAAGAGGGACGTGCCGACTCATAACAATTGCCTCGCGGCACCCGCAGCTTCATGTGGTTGGGTCGGGGGCCACATGCGAACCCTACCCCTACCCCCCACGATTTCTGAGGGGGAGGGTGGGGTTCACTTCGCTCGGGAGCTCCCGAACGAAGTGAACCCCACCCTCCCCCTCAGTGGGTTCCGGGTTCCCGGGCTCCCGGGATTCCCGGTCGATCTCCTCCATCCACTGATTGGGTATATTTTCACGCTCTCCGAGCCCTAAGAAGGTCGGCGACGATTTTGCCGGCGAAATCCACAATGGATGTTATGTTCAACGATTCGCAACCATGCCAGACACCGCGCGCATGTTGTCGGGCGTACAAGCGCGAGCCCGCATTCTCGAGCCCGCATTTTACACCAGAGAAAATATGATATAGAGAAAGTATGATATTTTCTCTGGTGTCAAATCTTACTCCGAGGCATGTTTCGAGGCGGGTCGACGTGTGCTGGCCCCGGGCCCCGAAACCGGGCGGACACGCCCGGCACGCAACGAAGAACTGCAAGGCCGACCAGACCTCAGGGCCCCGGGACCTCGACACCCCGATCGCTGTCGAGCGGCCGACGGCCACACCCAGACACCAGACGTCGTTACTGAAGGGGCCCTGGGACACCCAAAGAAATACACACAAAGATAAGGGTTCCCCATGGTTTCTCATATGTTCTGGCTTTTCGTCTTCCCCGCCACTTCCGATATTTTCCCATATTTTCCTGGGGGTCGACGCTGAATTGTGTCTGTGAATTTTTTCCCCTCCTGAGTTATTTGTTCGATACGGGCGCCTGGAAACCCCTACCCGTTCCTAAGGGCCGGTTTGGGATTCGAGCTGCTCGTGGGCGTTCACAGTGCCCGGCGAGGAGGCCCCAGGAGGTTGAAAACGACCACCAGAACTACCTGCCGGGCTCTGCACTGCAGTGGAGGTCGGGGCTTGGGCGAAGGCCACTCCTGCCGCGCGGCCGACGGCATCTGTGGCGCCAGGCGCGCACACGCGGCGGCACCTTTGCGCGGCGCCGTGCCGGCGCTGCTCCGGCTGGCCAGCCTCAGGAGCCCAGCGCGGCGCAGAGGCGCTCGGCCACGCGCGCGCGCAGCTGCTGCAGAAGGTCCGCCGCCGTGTCCTCGACGCCGACGACACCGACCGCGACGACGACGACGACGACGTCGACGACGACGATGATAACGACGATGCCAACGACGTCAGCGACGCCGACGACGCCAGGCACGACGACGTCGTCTATGTCGACGACGCCCAAACGCGGGGGGGGGGGGGGGGCGCAAAGGCGACGCCTGGTCCGCTCCTGGCCCAGGGCCGTCCTGGGCCCAGGGCCCAGGGCCCGCGCGTTGGCCTAGCCAAAACCAGCGTAGTTGTATAGTTGGCCCGTCCCAGCGGTGAGTTCGCCCGATTGATTCGGAAGACATCAACCAGTTTCGAAGGTTTTTGAGATTACCATCGCACCTCACATCAGCCCGCTCCTCGCACAGAGCGCGCTGGAAGGTCATGGGCCGTAGATGTCGATGAACGTTTGGGGTACGGCAAGTGCCGAGAACGCTACCAGCATTACTGCTACGATAGATACTGCCGACACGTTTCAACAACAGCCTACCAAGTCTGGCATGGGTGCTGCCACTGCAAAATGTCGATTTCTGCTACGACTGCGATGACAACAGCAACTACTGCTTGTACGGCACTGCTGCGGCAATGACCTTCACTAGTGATACCGCTGGCGGCGCTTCTCCTACAAGATGGCTGCACTGGCACAGGTGGTAAAACCACCACTGCCGCTGCTGATGCTACACTGGTTGGTGGGACACCCTAGCTCTGGAGTAGACCCACTAAAAGAAATGGCGACTCAACATATGGAAACATATGCGGGGCCGCGTGTTAGTTTACCGCATCAAGCGGCAGCGTTGAAAAATGATCAGTAGCAGCCCTAGCGGCACACCCGTGAAGAAGGTGCCCGTGCAAACGGCGCCGGGTGGAAATCGTGGTGCCCCCCTGCCCCCGCTGGGAAAACTCCCCAGAACGACAATCAACAGAAACCCGTAACGGCCTAAGCGCCGCAGTGGCCGGCACCCACGGAGCCCGTCCAACAACCACGCAGAGAGAGGACTTCTACGATGTTTCCACTCGTCACCAAGTCGTTGCCTCAATCCGCAGCGGTGCCGTAGGGGTGATCCTAGGGGCGACCGCCGCGACCCGTCGATCGTTGCGGTCCCTGCCGATGGCCACTCCAAAGAGCCTGGCAGCGGCAGCGGGTGGCGGTGCGAAGTCATGCCTCTACCGTCGCGTCGATTGGCACTCTTATGATGCCGCCTTATAAAGCCGCTCATTGGCGACAGGTCACTCTTACAGGTCATCAGAAGACGACGCATGGTGCCGCGTAGCGCCTACTAGGTTTGCCTCGGCCGCGGGAACGGCCGACCCGGTGACCCCGAGAAGCGTGTCCAGGGACAGCTGCAGGAGGGTGTAGGTTTCGTCACCCCGCCGCTGATGCTGAAGCTGCTGAGATTGGCCAACAAGGTCCCGGGAAGCCACCAAAGTAGCGCAAAGAGGGCTTGAGACGACCCAGGATCGAAGACGCCCAAGATCGCTCCAAGACACCCAAGAGGGCCCCCCTCTCCTAGCGGGTGGCTCAAAGGTAGCACGCACGCCACCACCACGTAGGGGCACCCAGCTTCCCAGCGGATGGGACGCGGGCTCCAAGACCGTCGACCTCAGTGGACCGGACGGGAAGGCGAGCGAAAAGCTGAGCATAGAAGATAATGTATGAGCATACAAGATCAATTCAAAAGATAAGATGATATTTGATATTATAGAATATGATGACATGTGATAGCGCACGGTATGGTCGTTTAAGATAAGAGAAACATATAAGAAGAGATGAGACCAGATAGGGTAAGACAGGATAGGATACGACGAGGTAAACTGTGCTTAAGCCAAGTAAATAAAAGAAAATGGGATAATAAAAACGGCAGTGACATGACATGAGAAAATGTAAGATAACAAACGAAAAAAAAGGATTATATACGACGATCTCTCATACGGTAAGATAAACGAAGGCGAACCAGATATAGAACGGCAACATAAGATGAGTTAGGCTCAGATACTATAGGCGGACAAATCCAAGAGAGCATGCGACCGGGTGGTATAAAAGACATAGGGTTGAAAATATGGGATCCTACATGAAAACAAATGATATCACCGGAAACTCCAAAGATATAATCAGATATGATGGAACAATATGAAATCGACTCAAACACAATGAAATAAACAAACAAATACCAACGTAGTATACAAATACCAACGTAGTATACAAATCTGGAAGGGTAGATAGGATCATATAACTTTTGGTTGAATGCGGTCACACAATCTGAACAGGCAGGATAAGACGAGACACGCAAACATAAGACAATATATGATGTGATAGTATGGACGAAGACCAGGGGAGACACACTTAAAGCAAATCAGATAGGGCGCGACAGGACAAGATATCGTATGATAGGACAAGGTGAGATTTGGTAGAAAAGGCTCAGATGCCATGTTATATTGTTAGAAAGTTGGGCGTGGCTCGGATGTGTGAAGTTATAATGTGAAGTACGGTAGGTAAAGTAGTACAGAAGATGACGAAGATTGGAACACGTGGTAATATGGTATACGAAAAGATCAGTTTATCGATACTACGAATACTATGATAATATCATATCTATGGCAATATGATAAGTTCACGTAAGCTACGAAATAATCATACAAAATAAGAGCCGAAAGCGGCAGAGCCGCCTAGGACAAGGATAAATAACATAACAAATTAAGAGGGACTTGTCAAATCCTCCTCCTGCGGGCCCTCCTCCACGACTCCCTGCCTGCCCTGGCAGGCGGGATAGCGGGCGGCCTAGCCATCCCAATGAGGGGTGGCGTCAACGGAGACGCCGAATCTCGTCGGGTGCCGACCCGTTGCCCAGCTGGACAACCACGGCGCTCCTGGGCGGAAGACGGCGAGGTGCCCACGCCACAAGCCTCGGACAAGAGGCGAAGACGGCGGCAGCAAGACACGACAGGTCGACTGGCGCGCGGATGTCGAACTGCCCCAAGCTCCAACCTTCGTACCTGGAGAGCCTCTTGGGGAGACTCTTAACATTCATTCTGCGCTTGTGCTGGCGCAGCTCAGAACCAGACGCGGCAGGGCAGCAAGACTGAACCCGCTCTCGGCCGCTTCCCCAGGCAAAAGCACCGCACGAGATACAGCAAATGAGATCCGCGCCAGCAAGCACACTAGCCCCAGATCTGCCGAAGTCTTTGACGACTCGCAAACCATGAGCAGCGGGCTAATAAAGAATGGCCAACTCGGGGTCTCGGGGGCCCCTGGACACCTCCGAGAGAACCGCCCGAAAACGAACAAAGACATGATGGAGAAAGGCCAGCCATGCAGGCCTAGCCCTCTTACCCTTTCCAGGGGCGGCCTCTGGGAGACCCTCCGAAATCCCTCCAGCCTCTTGCCGGCCATGAAAACCTTTCTGTCGCCCAACCCACTGCCCAACCTCTCGCTCCAAGAGCTTCAGTCCTCTGAGCTGGCTGGCTGCTTGCTTGACACAAAGATTGAAACAACTCCGCGCTTGACCAGGGCACCGGCGATGGCACAAGCTGCGAGCCCAAGCCTGGATCTTACCACGAGCAACGTCAGCCTCCGAGGTATGAGTTTTTTTGTGCAGTGCCAACCCTCCCTCAAAGACCGCGTGAACTGGCCCACATGTAGGCCTGCGCCGAGCGAGCACTGGTAGCTCTAGGGCGGGAACGCGCATCATTTAAGGCACCGGCACAATCAGTCCAATCACCTCCGATGTTGAGCGCGATCTGGCTGAGCATCAAATGCGCATAGTCCTCGCCAGCCCGAGCGCTCTGGAAGGAGGCGATGTTCCACTGAACGGGGCCGAAGACTCCAGCAACCATAGATCCCGACCCGTCGACCATCAGGACAGACCACCCCGCCCTGCGAGGGCGCGGGTCCGCGGGGTTCAACGCCGAACCATGCATAAAAAACTTCCCCCGCAAAAGCCCATCAGGGGGCCTGCGGATCCACGATCCAACAGGGGCGGCGAAATCAGTTCTCTGGGGGAGGGAGAGACGCTGCTGGCAAAGACTCCTCTACGTCCCCGAGTGACTGCACCAGCCTCGCTGCCGAGCGGCATTCATCAGAAAGAAAGTGTTGCCTGCCAGCACTCCAGGCATTACAAACGAAATGGCGATGGAAGAGCGCCCCAGGGAGACCTCTGCACAACAGGCAAGCGTTGATGGACACACTGCCGCGACGATGCAACCTGTCCTGAGGCCAGTGGGTGCCCGAGACCTTCCGAGTCCATTATGTCGTTTTTAGCCCCAGCTGAGCGTCGATGGGTTGCCAAAAGACAAGCTTAAGAACGCGGATCCAGCTCGAGACCCCAGGGCACGAAGATTCGGCGTCTCGTTGCCAGACTGCTCTGCCAGTGCAGCGACAGCGACGCTGGAGAGCCTGAGTAGCTCAATATGCTCACCTGTGTCAAGCGTAACAATCGTGCCGAGTGCGCAGTCCAGCCAATCCCCCACAAGCAAGAATATACACGTGCGCAGGCGACGCGGCCCGACTCCAAGGGCGATGTGCGCTGGCCAGCGCACGAACGACATCCTCAAAGATGGCCAGAAGGACCGAGATGAAAGGCTGAGCAGAGCCACGTGAAAAGGAGGAGGAGGAGGAGGAGGAGGAGGAGGGTCCTGAGGGTCCTGAAGACGCGGCTCTTGTCGATGGGCCCTGGCACGCAAACCACGCTGCCTCAGACGTTGCAGAAGAAGGAGAAGAAGGAGGAGGAGGAGAAGGAGGAGAAGTAACGGGAGGGGGACGAGGAGGAGGAGGGGGAGGGGGGGGAGGAGGAGGAAGAGGAGCAGGAGGGCAGGAGGAGAGGAGCAGGAGGAGGAGGAGGAGGAGCAGGCAGGAGGAGGAGGGAGGGGAGGAGGGGAGGAGGAGGAGGAGGAGGAGGAGGAGGAGGAGGAGGAGGAGGAGGAGGAGGAGGAGGAGGGAGGGCAGGAGGAGGAGGAGGGGAGGAGGAGGAGGAGCAGAGCAGGAGAAGCAGGGAGGAGCAGGAGGAGGAGGAGCAGAGGAGGAGGAGGAGAGAGGGAGGGGAGGAGGAGGAGAGGAGGAGGAGGAGGAGGAGAGGAGGAGGAGCAGGAGGAGGAGGAGGAGGAGGAGGAGCAGGAGGAGGAGGAGGAGGAGGGGGAGGGGAGACCCGCTCCCTGAGGCGCGCCGAGTCGTACCCGCTGACGCCATTGACGATGGCGGCGCCCATATCAGTGTGCGAGAGCCCGCACTCCTGTACACCTCGTCGCAGACAGGCGCACTCGGCCCTCAAGAAACCTCACTCCGAGGGGGAGGGAAAATAAACCTCGAGCCCGCAAGTTGTTGAAACTAGCTAGAATGAAAACGAGGAGGAGGAGGAGGAGGAGGAGGAGGAGGAGGAGGAGCAGGAGGAGGAGGAGGAGGAGAAGACAACGACGAGGGGGGGCCGTCCTCCGCCAGATGCAGCCGCTGCGCTGCCGCCACCTCGGCCATCTCCGCCTCGGCGGCGGCCCAGGCGGACCCGTCGCCCACCGCCTGCCAGGCGAGCCGCGCGCGCCCAGAGGGCAGCACGAACGCGTCCCCTGCGTCAGCCGCCCCCCTCTGGGAGAGGAGCTGCTTCAGCAGCCATCCCTAAACAGCCTCGAACTTCTACCTATCCCGAAGGTCAGCGAACCCAAGGCGATGACAAGATTAGAAAGAGCGTGTTCTAAGATTAGAAAGAGCGTGTTCTACCGCTGCTGGCGGAAAACCGGGGGAGGCCACTACCGGTTCGAACCCCCCTCCCCTCCGGAAAACCAAGGGGGGTCACTACCTGTCCTGTTCGAGCCCCCCCCCCCACAGCTCATCATGAAAAGGGGGGGGGGGTCACCACTGGTTCGAACCCACCCCCCCCTCGAAAACTGGGGGGGGTCACTACCGGTTCGAACCCCCCCCCTTCGAAAACTGAGGGAGGGGGGTCACCACGGGACGCTGGGACAGCACAGTGGGACAGCGGCGGGGACAGTGGGACAGTAGTGGGCACAGTGGGGACAGTGGGACAGTGGTGGAGACCGTGGGGAAAGTGGGGAGAGTGGGACCGTGATGGGACAATGGTGGGGAGAGTGAGGACATTCACACTGGTGGGGGCACTGGTGGGGACAGCGGGGACAATGGTGGAACAGTGGGGACAGTGGGACGGTGGTGGGGACGGTGGTGGTGCGGACAGTTGTGTGGGAACCGTGGGAATGTGGCGGAAACAGTGGGACAGTGGAGGGTACAGTGGTGGTGGGGACAGTGGAGGGCGGTGGCGAGGACGGCGGTGGGACAATGGGACAGAGGTACAGTGGGGACAGTGGTGGGGACAGTGGGGACAGTGGTGGGAACAGTGGGACAGCTCAGTGGGACAGCGGAGGAGACAGTGGGACAGCGGGGACAGTGGGGACAGTCGGGCAGTGGAAAGTGGGGAGAGTGGAACCGTGGGAACAGTGGTGAGGACAGTGGGGACATTGCGACAGTGGTGGGGGCACTGGTGGTGACAGTAGGGACGGTGGTGGAACCAGCGGGGACAGTGGTGGTGAGGACAGTGGCGCTGGGGACAGCAGTCGAGGATGTGGTGCGAACGGTGGTAGGGACCGGGAGTCGTTTGCTGGCGGTGAGCGTGGGGGGGGGAGGGGTTCGAACCGGTGGTGACCCCCCCCGGTTTTCGAGGGCCCCCCCCCCCGGTTTTCGAGTGGGGGGGGTGTTCGAACCAGTAGTGACCCCACCCGGTTTTCCGGAGGGGAGGGGGGGGGGGGGGTTCGAACCAGTAGTGACCCCCCCTGGTTTTCGAGAGGGGGGGGGGGGGGGTCCGAAGCGGTAGTGACCTTCCTCTGGTTTTCTGGAAGGGGGGGGGGGGTTTCAGTAGTGACTTCCTCTGGTTTTTTGGGACGGGGGGGGGTTCGAACCGGTAGTGACTCCCCCCGGCCTCTGGGGGGGGGGGGTTCGAACCGGTAGTGACCCCCCCGGTTTTTCCGGAGGGGAGGGGGGGGGGAGGGGTTAGGGGAGGGGGGGATTTTGCCGGGGGAAGGGAGGGGGGGGGTCCAGCAAGGGGGGGGGGGGATTTCGGAGGGGGGGGGGACCCTGGGTTCCGGAGGAAGAGGGGAGAGGGGGCGGAATTTTCCACAGCAAAGCGGCGGTGGATCAAGCTCTCTCCAAGATTAGATAAGTGCCCTCAGAAACTGAGGAATCCTTGAGATCGGCACCGAGGTAAGGCGATGCCAAAAACATAGGGATACGAATATGTCCCAAGCTATATAGTATTATCCCCTGGGGGGGCAAGACCGATCTGCGCTCAGGCAAGCACATGGCTGAGGTGAGCACTGGAACAGACCCTGCCCGTGGCTGGAGGTTCAGGGTTGGGAAGGGTGCGCGCACACGCGTGCTGCACCAGAGATCACGAAGAGCAGAAACAAGGCAGAGGACGACGACGACGACGACGACGACGACGACGAGGCTCCGTGCGTGGGGCGACGGCCAAAAAAGCCCAGCGGCTAGCGACCCTGCCCCTTGCCCGCCTCCCCCCCCCCGCACTCGCCGCCGTGGCCTTCGGCTCCCTCCCCAGCCCCCACCCCCGCGCGTTCCGCTCCCCTAATGCAGTCCTCTTGTTACGATGGTGCCCCCGCGCGATGGTCAGGTCGGGCATGTCCTCCTACAGGCGCATTTTGGGCGAAAAATAAAAATGATCCAAACATGCAAACAAACAAACGAAAAACTCGTAAAATCGCCCCCAGAGTAGTTTGACTAGTTTTGGATGTTCCTCACCTGGCCCGTTATTCAGGTTGCAGGCCGCCCGAGCCCATCGAGGCTCGAGTTCCGTCCTCGGCTGGTTGCACCGCAAGCCTGGCTTGTCCCCTTCCTCTCCCCTTCCCCGCCTCCGCCCTCTGCCACCTCTCCCCCTGCTACCGAATTGCCCTCCCCCCCCCTCCCTCCCCCCCCCCTCTCCACCATGAGAGCCGACGCTGCGAACCAAGCTGCAACATCGCGAACAGAAAACACGACCACAGCCCTGGGCCCCATGTGAAGGGGCCCTGGGACACACCAAAAAATACACACAAAGAAAAGGATGCCCCATATCTTCCCCTATTTTCTGGGTACCTGTCTTCCCCCCCCCCCCACTTCCCATACTTTCCCACATTTTCCTGGGCATCGACGATTCATTGTGTCTGTGTGCTTCTTTCCCTCCTGAGCTCCCGCAGCACCTGGCGAGCCGCGTCGAGCTGTGCCGGCCCCCGGGCCCAGAGCTGGGCGAGCACACGCCCGACATGACAGAGCCGCAGCGCCCGGATCTCGGGGTCGGGGCCCCTGGCCCGTCGCCGCCCTCGCCCGTAGCGTCAAGTCGGGCGTGTCCAGGGGGCAAACAAACCTCCCTCGCTTTTGGCCACCCTCGCTTCCAAGAGATGCCAAGCAAGGCCAAACTACGGCCTGTACTGGTCAGGCCGCTCGACGAGGAGGCGCGTGGTATGCCTTGGTTTTGCCTGGAAGCGAAAGCGGGGTAGGTAGTTCACGCGTTGAGTGTCCCCCTACAGGGGGATTTTCGACGAAAACAAAAAATACTCCAAAAAAAAACCCAATGGTCAAAATACGCAAAAAATAGTCCCCAGACTATCTTTAACTGTTTTTGAATATTCCTCCTGTGGAGTGACGTGCCCGACTTAACAATGGCGCAACACAAATCGGCATAAACAAAAGTTTCTGGAGGTCCGCGCGGATGTCTCAGATCTGCGCTGGACCCCCCATCCCTGGCGCGGAGCGCGCCAGGGGCGCCGAGGCGCCGCCGGGGGGGCCCCAGCGCGGATCCAAGAAATCCGCGCGGAGCGCCAATTGTTTTACTTATATGCCGTTTTTCGCTCGTCGAGTGCCTCTGGCCCATCGCCGCCTTCGCCAAGGCCCCCCATCCGCCCCTCGCCGCCCCCGCCCCCTGGGCGAGGAGGGGAGAGGAGGAGGAGGAGGAGGAGGATTTTTTTTGCATGGGACATGCTGCAGCCCACGTACACCGCTCAGGGTGGGCGAGGCCCTGAGGGGGCAGCCGCGCCGAAACAACTGTACGGACGGTCGGCTCGGAAACCAGCGAGGGGTGGGTGTGCCTGGGCGCTCCGCGAGACCAGGCAGCAGAGACCCACCCCTGGGTGGCCCCTCACAGGCACACAGGGCCCAAGGGGGCCCTGCTACACCTGGACGGGGGCCGACGGCGCGCCAGGCACAGTGCCGCAGCCCTCGGCCAGAGGGGAAAACGGGCCCACGACAGGTGACCGCCTAAAGGACCGCCAGAGTTAGGCGGAGGCGCCACCATCAGGAGCCCCTTGCCCTCGACTGCACAAGAGGACAAGCGGCGAGTGGCGGGCAAACAAGTGCTGGCGTCAGGAGCGGAGCCCCAGACACGCACCACAGAAAGAAAAAAGGGGGCGAAAGCCCACGGGCACCGTGCGGCCCTACACGAAACGCGTACGCGCACGCACACGCCCGGGCACGGGCCAGCGAGGGGCGAGGGCAAACCACAGCCCTAGCGCCCTCCCATATGCATCACTGCGCGCATCTTCCCCCTGAAGCGGGGTGCCTGGCATGCGTGCGGCACGGAAGACGCGCAAGACACACTGGCCAACAAAAGGACGAGGCCTGCCCCAGGTGCTGTAGCGCCGGACGACACGACCACGCCCCAGATGTAAAACCGAAACACACGCGAGACAAAAAACAAAAAACGACCTCCCACAAAAGGACGGCGGGACCTCCAGCCCCTGGTGCAGCCAGCGCCAGGACGACTGGAGGCCACACCCCAAATGTGGGACTAGGCCCTAGAAAAGACAGACCGTGTCAAGATCAACAGTGACCCCAGGCCGCTTCGGGTGGAGCCCGCGTTGCAACTTGACCCACGGATTGTTATGCGCCTTTATATCCTCGGGCTTGCAGGCCTTGGCCAGGTTGGCCAAGCGGCCACCCGAAGTCATGTAGTTGCACTTCTGGCAGACGCACAAGAAAGAACCATCCGAGCAGTCTATGACGGCGCAGCGGTGGCCCAGAGATCTGAGCACAGCGGGCTGAACCCTCAAGGCAAGAGTGCAAGAGCCACCCTCTGGCCTGGCGAGGGGAGAGCCCCGCTTCCCTCGGAGACATTCAGAACACTGCCAAAACTTGCCAGCCCACCCCCAAACGTGGGGCTTGGATTCCTTCTTGGCCGAGGGGCCCTTAACAGCAGGCACACGGTCCGCGTTGGGACCCAACTCCAGCTTAGGCCAAGAAGGCAAAACTTTGGCAGCAAGTCGGGCCACCGCCTTAGCAACCGCGAAGGAGGAGGAGGAGGAGGAGGAGGAGGAGGAGGAGGAGGGCGAGGAGGAGGAGGAGGAGGGCGAGGAGGGGCGAGGAGGAGGAGGAGGAGGAGGAGGAGGAGGAGGACCGCCTGCTGCAGCACCGCCCGCTGGCAGGGCAGCGCGGCCCCGCCCGCCTCCGCCACCGCCTCCAGCACGCGCAGCGCCAGCAGGCGCCGCGGCCCGCTGCCTGGGGGCCCACGGCCGACGTGGGAACTGCGACGACGACGACGACGACGACGACGACGACGACGACGACGACGACGACGACGACGACGACGACGACGACGACGACGACGACGACGACGGCGGCGGCGGCGGCGGCGGCGGCGGCGGCGGCGGCGGCGGCAGCGACGGCGGCGGCCACGGCGGCGGCAACGGCGATAGCGACGGCAGCGGGCAACAGCGGCGGCGGCAGCGGCGGCAACGGCCGCGGCGACCACGGTGGTGGCGGCGCCGGCGCCGGCAGCAGGGCCCCGGGCGCCTCGGGGCGCCCGCGCCAGCCTCGCGAGGGAGCAGGCGTGCTGGGAAAGCTGCCCGAGGTCGAGCCAGCGTGGCCCAGCCCTAATGACGAGCAGCAGGTACAAGAGCACTGGACTCGTAGCCCAGTCCTCCTCGGCAGCCTGCGCGCTGGGCTCCTCGTGCGCGCCCGCGACCGCCTCGAACGCCTTCCGCAGGCACGCGCCCCTGTGCAGCGCCTGCGCCCTGGACGTGTGCGAGTAGGCCGCGGAGGTCAGGAGCGTCACGAGCGCCAGGCAGCTGGCGTCTCGCAGCTCGCCCGGGGCACACTGCGACACGCCGGCGGCGCAGGCGGCCACCACCGCAGGCAGCTCTGCCTCTGGCGGGAGCACCGAGGCCACAGTGCCCCCGCAGGCAGCAGTGGCAGCCAAGGCCAGCGCCACGCCCGGCACGCTGCGCCGGGCCAGCGCCTCGCTCCACGCGGCCCGCCCCTGCGGCGAGAGCGCCGCAGAGACGAGGCGTCCGACGGGGCACGCGCCCGCAGCCCCCAGGGGCACGGCGGCGAGCGCGCCCCCGGCCGCGGCACCAGCGGCGATGGCGGCCCAGGCTGCCTCCTCCAGCTCCTAGGAGGGAGCCGACTGTACACCTGCCCAGACATGGCCACGTCGTAAAAAAAAAATCACGGCGGCAAATTTCTCACTATTTTCGGCCCCTGGGGGCCCTCGCCGGCCCCTGGGACCGTCCAAAAACGACGCAGGATGAAAAGCTGGCCCCAGGGAAAGGGTCTGGACTTCCGGGGTCGCTGAACTGAAAAAAACAGGACGTCGCATGCCTGGGTATATACACCGATCCCAGCCGGGTTCATCCTGGGCCCAAAAAGTCGGTGCAGGCTGCACATACGTCCCCCCAGCTGGGGCAGGAGGGCACCTGCGCGATCGGCCTGGCCAGGATCGGTACAGGTGTGCAGTTGGTGCCCTCCGCGCTCCGCAACGCCGCTGAGGAGGGAGCAGCGCACCTGCAGGTTTAGGGGAACGAGCAGTGACATAAACATAAAACTCGGAGGTCCGCGCAGATTTCTCGTACCCGCGCTCGACACCCCTCCCCAGCGCGCTCCGCGCGCCAGGGGCGGCGCTGGAGGCGCAGCCAGGGGGCCCCAGCGCCGATCCGAGAAGTCCGCGCGGAACTCCGAGTTCGCATGTTTCTGCTATTGCTCGTTCCCCTAAAAATGAACCAAATGGACCACAACCCAAAAATAATCTCGAGCACCTGGAAGTGTCAAAAGAGTGTCGACATAGTCCCGAAACAGTGTCTCCCAGGGCCCCCGACACGCGAAAACCCTCGAGTTTGTGGGTAATTTTCTGGTGCTCGAGATTCTTTCTGGTGATCAAGTAGGTTGGAACATTCGGGGGCGGCCAAGAGGAGGGTGTCCAAGAGGGGGGGTGCAAATCATGGCC